AAAAATATTTCTAATGCAGGACCACGTTTTCGTATAGCCCCAAGCGGTACTTTTCGACGGTTTTTTTTTTGACATTTTTTTAAGTTCCTTTAAAATGGTGGAGGATATTAAAAACTTCACTCGGCCGAACTTACCTGGGGTTTTAGTTGTTATTAATTAATATGGTTTGAATGGTGAATGAAAAATTCTTAAAATACACAAACAAATTTTGATCCGAATTCAATTTGAAGCTATACCAAACATGTGCAATGCACACCTAGCTGATGCTAAATAGATTGGATATCAGGATTCAGTTAATATTTATCAAACATCAATATAGTAGCGGGTACTTGGACGAGTTGTGCTTCCGAAATAATTATATTTTGTAATGTTGGAATTACTAAACAAATCTCTATATCGGATCATTATACCCTCAGCCACTAAACATGTCTCATCGAAATAACGGTTTTAGACACTCGGTCTCTTTGGACCAAATCCGTTTCAGAACATTTGGAGTCGATCTAGCGATGTCCGTCCGTCTGTCTATCTGGTGCGCACGATAACTCTCGAAGAGAGTATCTGTTTTGGTCCAAACTTGGAACATCGTAATATTATTATCAATCTTCAACTCTTTCTGGTACCTCCCTCACAAACTGTCGAAATTTTCAAAAAAAAAATATTTTACTGCACAGAAAGAGAAAGGTCAGTGTTCGATGAGGTGAGAAAATGGACAATATTGGTCCACTCCATCAAGTACCTACCCCACAAAGGGTCAACATTTGGAATATAAATATCTCTTATAAAATGTCAGATAAGAGTCCGATAGTCTTCAAATTTCACACACTACTATATTTTTATTAACCCAAGATCTGGTGTGTAGATGGGCTATATCGGTCCTTCTGGTACCTCCCCACAAACGGTCAAAATTTTGTATGTAAGAAGCTCATAAAAGGCGAAATTAATTCAAACTTGCCGGATCTCAATATTTCTATCAACGCAAGGTCGTTATAAAGATGGTAGAGATAGAAATTTACCTTGGGTACCGCCCCAACAAAGGCTCCAAATTTTGAATAACCAAAACGAGTATAAAATACGAGATAAGAATCAGGTTGTTTTCAAATTTAACACATCCTATTACTTCCAATAACACAAGATCTGCTGTGAAGGTGTGATATATCAGCTCACTCCTTCTGGTATCCTCCCCACAACGGGTCAAAATTTTGAATAATTAAATCTCGCATAACATGCGAAACAAGTCAGGGACTCTTTTCAAACTTGATTTTTCTAAATATGTCTCTCAACCAGAGGCATGATTTGATATGATATGGAACTTATTGGCCCACTCCTTCTGGTACCACCCTCACAAGGGGTCATGCGAAACAAGTCAGCGATTTTAATCAAATTTCGAGTATCTTCATATTTTTGTTAATCGTAGATCTGATAGATATTCCGGTCCACTTTTTCTGGACAACCTTTTGACTAACAATTATTCCTATAGAATTGTAAATAAGTGTTCGATTTCCTTGAAATTTTTCACATCCCAGTATTTTTATAGCCTCCAGTAAGTTTGTCATTCCGTTTGTAAAACCTCGAAATATACATTTTAGACCCCACGAAGTATGTATATTCCTGATTAGATTAAAATTCTATGTCGATTTAGCGATGTCCGTCCGTCGATGGAAATCACTCTAGCTTCCGAACGAAATGAAGTAGGCTGAAAAAATTTTACTCAAATGTATATTCTGTCTGCAGGACTTTTGGTATAGCCCCATATAATGGTACCTCCCTATTTTCGGTATTTTGGTGATTTAATTGATATTATTCACCGGAAATGTTTTAAATTTGGTATTTGAAGTTCGTAATGGGTACTACAGCCTATGACAGAAAATTTTCTGTGCAGGTCCACGTCTTCGTATAGCCCCAATATAATGGTCCTCCCGATATTCGGTATATTGATGATTTTAGCGACATTATTCACCGATTTTTTTATGTTTCGCATTTGGATATTGTAATGGCTTATGATGAAAGTTGCCTATATATAGCTCCACGTCGTCGTAAAGAAATAATGGCTACATTCGGTATTTTAAAGATTTTAATAGAATTTTGAACGGATTTTATTTATTTTATTTATTTATTTTTTTTTTTTTTTTTGAAAATTGCCAGATTCTTCCCTAATGGTGGAGGGTATCAATGAAATACGTAGGTCCACTGCATCGGGTACATCGTGCATATTTGAACATTTTGCAAAAATTATCACACATCTCATATAAAGAACAGGAAGTTGTCGGTATAGGCCAAATCTGGCACCTTGTAATAGACTTAGGTCAGATATGAAATGAACAATATTGGACAAACCTTTCGGAACCTCCCCCATAAAGGGTCAAAAGTTTGAATAGCCATAACGTAAGTCAATATATATAAAAACAAACAGACATTGTTTGGAGGTATACATCTGTGGGTAAGCCCGACTGATACTTTTTAACTTGTTTTTCTTTTATTTGTTGGTACTTATGCGCTATTTGATATTTTGCTAAACTTTAACCTTCAGTGAAAAAAGAGTTTCCAAAAGCTTCACCCTTATGGCTGCTGAGGGTACATATCATTTGATACGGCCAAAATATGCAAAATCCGTGTCTAGTCATATCTGTCTGCCCATAGCTCTCTAAGATATATCCAAGAGTTTAAGTGCTAAACAAACATTCTGACTTTTTTAATTTTCTTTTTTTCAAAAATTTTTGCAACTTTTGATTTTTTAATCAAATTGACATAAGTAACGCTTTTGCACAGATCATCGCCATCATCGCAAGATCCAAACCGGCATACAAATCAAAAGATCAATGCAATAAAATGAAGACATTTATGTCTCTTCCAAAAAGTGGCACACGAACCGTTGGTTGGCAGTTGTGCCACCGATAACCAATGTGGTGATTTCACAAACCGCCAAAGCTTAAGATTTGTTTAATCCAGTTATTAACAAACAAAAACAAAACTTAGTTGTTTTTATTTAATTTGTGGCTATTGATTCGGATGGCCATAATAATGTTCTTTTGCTTTACGTCGTTTTTAGTTTGTGTTAGATTTTTGTTTTTAATAGAAATTGAGCCGGACAAACAAGTCGTTTGTTGTTTTAATCTAACCGGATTTGTAACAACTTTTTGTGGCTGTGAAGTGGTTTGAAGTGGTTTTTGGTCACTTTTATTTAAAATACAACTAAAAGAATAAGTGAAATTATGCTTCTGGTTCTCAATGAAATTTCTTTTTTTTTCTTTTTTAAACGAAGTCTGGAAGTTGTTGAAAGTGAATATGCCTGTTTATTTAAGAATAGTTTTCAGTTCCTTTGTATTTTTTTGTGAATAATTTTATTTTTCTAGTGAGGGAGCAGGTTTTTATTTCCACAATTTTGGAAATTTTCGAGTTAAAATTCCTCCGAATCCGTGCATTTTGGGTATATACTGTCTTTGGCAATATTGCAAAAAACGGAGTTATTCTTAAAAGGAGACTATTGCAAAAAGTGGACCGATATGATTTATATTCTTTACCAATTATTTAGGATGTACTCCAACCATCTCTACCAAATTTCAAAGCCCTATCCTAAATATAGAGAAATATATCTCATACTATATGGGGTTCCTTTGTATTGTGTCAAAATTATTTAAGGGCCTTAACAAAATTTGTCCAAAGAACTCAAAACTCCATTGAGGTTTTGATCCCAAAACGAGTACTATCAATTCCATTTGGCATTTTCCAGAACCACTATTGTATAGTCAAATTATAAAAAAATTGCAGTGAATTAAGAATCAGTAAAGAAAGTCTTAAAGTCGGGCGGGGCCGATTTTATGATACCCTACACCACTTTGCTAATTAAGTAGAGTTCCACATAACAATTAAAAGTTTTTATGGGAGAATTCAATCATACACGTTATGATTATAATTATAATTTAAAGTTCAAAGGACTAAATATGCCGAAGCATTTGTATCTTTTAAATTCGGAATTGTATTGCCCATTTGGTGCACAATTAATTTGAAATCGGATAAAGATATATATGGGAGCTATATCCAAATCTGAACCGATCTCGATAAAATTTGACAAAGATATTTCTGAGCTGTATTTGATATATTTCCCCAAATATTGTTGTTGCATAGTGCATATTACGGCGGCGGTGGACAAAAATAACAAATCGGATGAACAATATATGTGGGAGCTATAGCTATATCTGAATCGATTTCGATCAAATTTGGCATACATATTTTCAGGCCCAATTTGGGTGTATATGCAAAATTCCATACAATTCGGGCTGATATTACACGTTTGGTGCACAATAAAAGGCAAATCGGACGAAGATATATGGGAGCTATATCTAAATTTTGACCGATTATCTCCAATTTTAATAGAGTTCGTCCTTGCGCCAAACAAAAGATCTTTGCTAAATTTCATCTATAAAATAAATGCGACCTGTACTTTGTTTACAAAAATACATGGACAGACGGACGGACGGACATGCATAAATCGACTCAGAATGTGATTCTATGCAGATCATCAAAATAAACTATGGGTCTATCTCGTTTCCTTCTGCCTGTTACAAATAAATGCACAAAGACATAATACCCTGACCACCTTGTGGTGTAGGGTATAAAAACTGCCAAATTTTTGAGAAATAAAGAACATTTTTTATTAACAAAAATGTATGCCTTTTCTTTGTGGTACATATTAAATATACAAATTTTCTTTGTTCGGAGATTCTCACTGAAAATTGATCTAGAATAATTCTTACTTTGACACTTCCCCAAAATAATGTAGAATAAAGGGAGATTTTGACTCGGATCGGATACGTGTTAGATTAACAGTAAAAAAAACAAAGACATAATTTTCACTTTTAGTATATAAATTTTGAAAGCAGTATTCAAAAGAACTATTGTACCTAGATATATAGTTCATTCTGAGATTTATAGTGAAATGTTGTGTGGAATATGTCTTTTTTTTGACAACTTTCGTCTAAAACGAAATTTTATGTTACTTTCAGGGGGAAATTGATGCAAACATATTTTTTTCATACAGTGGAAATAGAGATTTCGTTTGTTTGGTAATTTATAGTAAAATTTGATGAAGAATTGTCTTTGATGTTATCTTGCTAAAATTATGCTTTATTGGAGGTTTTTGCACAAAATCATAAAAAGTACTAGTTAAAACTAAAATGTGTTTTTTATATATGGCCTTTAGGTAAAATTTAGACTCTTGACGTCTTCTAGAATTGTTTGGCAAATAATTTTGTAGAATATTTTGACTACGATTCCGCATAATATACATCAAATGCACGGATTCCAAGGATCCTTAATCCGAAAATTTCCAAAAGTTTGAAATGGATGAACTTGCCCCACTATTTTGGTTACTTTTCGATGAAAACATTCAAAACGCCGATATACGTCTCTTTTTATACCCTCAGTCATAGAGCTAGAGAGGGTATATATCATTTGATAGGGTCAAAACTTGCCTAGTCGAATTAACGATCTTAGATCCCAGGTCTCTTTGGACCAAATCCGTTTCAGGACATTTGGAGTCGATCTAGCGATGTCCGTCCCTCTGTCCGTCTGTTTGGCTGGTGCGCTCGATAACTCTCGAAGGGAGTATCCGATTTGGTCCAAACTTGGTACATCATAATATTTTTGTCAAACTTAGATCGAGTTCGGAGATGGGCAATATCGGTCCACTCCTTTTGGTACCTCCCCCACAAAAAGTAGAAATTTTCAAAAAATATATGTTCTGCACAGAAAGAGAAAAGATAATCCGATTTTACTTCAACTTTGCAATTCCGAATATTTGCGTCAGTGCGAAAATGAACAATATCGATCAACTCTATCAAGTACCTCCCCTACAAAGGGTCAAAACTCTTATAAAATGTGATGTAGGAGTCCGATAGTATTCAAATTTCACACATCCCATTAATTTTACTAAACCAAGGTCTGCTGTTAAAATAGAATATATCGGTCCACTCCTTCTGGTACCCTCCCCACAAAGGGTCAACATTTTGGATATCCATGGAGCTCATAAAACGCGAAATTAAACACCGATTTCATTCAGACTTGGCACATCTGAATACAGGGTTGCCCATATTCGACGGACCCATCTGGCAACGCCATAACTTTTGACAGAGATGTCACATCGCTTAATGACATACCGCGTTTGAAGCGTCAGTCCAAGCAGATTTTTACCATGAACCAATAAACGCCACGGGAGCGCTCTGAAATAGTTGAAATTTACAAGAAGTCAATTATGAAAACTCAACGTGCTTTTAAAACATTAAAAAATGTGAGAAGTGCGCCTTCTAAGAACACCATTAAGCGTTTATACGAAAAATTTTCGACTGGTAAGGCTCTTTCTAATCCGAAGAGACCATATAAAAGTCGACCAAGGCGATCGGCCGAGAATATCGCTGCCGTACGAGCCAGTGTTGAGAGGTCCCCAAGAACATTCCAAAAAAACGCCGTTCTCAGCAGTTGGGCATGGCTCGGTCCACTTTAAAACGGATTATTCGCATTGATTTGCATTTGTTTCCGTACAAAATTCAATTGACACAAAGAATGTTGTCTGCGGACAAGCCTCGTCGATTGGAATGGGCCCAAAGAGTCACGGGTCCGTCGAATATGGGCAACCCTGTATTTATATCAACACAGAATCTGTTATTAAGGCGGTAGAGATCGGACCATTTCTTCAGGTACCTCCCCCACAGGGTTCAAGATTTCGAGAAACCAAACGCTCAAATCAAGCCAAATAAGCCTTCCACTCTCTTTAAATTTCACACATACAAACATTTTTGCTAACACAAGATCTGCTGTGAAGATGACATATAGCTGCGAACCCCTTCTTGTACGTCACCCACAAAGGGTCACAATTTTCAATATTTTTTCAATATTTTTAATATTGGCCCATTCCTTCAAACTCCACTCCATAGAGGGACAAGAGTTTGAATAATCATAACAGAAGTTAAAATATATTTAAAAAATCGAACATTGGCTGAGGGTATACGTCTGTCGGCAGAACCGACTGATACTTTTTAATTTGTTTAGCTCTATTTCCATAATGTGAGGAATTCCCCCTGTTTTTTTACACTGTGTAATTTTGGACTTTTAAGAATATTTTCTTAAGGGTCTATAGCCCAAAGATGACTCTTTCAAGCGTCTAGAGCTCAATATTCATTGATTTTCCAAGAATATTTGTATCAGGATCTACTGAAAAAAGTCTTGGATTTTTTTAAGAAGGTTTTGAAAGAACATACAGGCCAATATTCTTGGAGATAAAATCAAAGACCCTCACATCAATATTCGTGGATTTTCAAATATTGTTTTTTTACAGGATCTATTGTCCAAACACGTTTAAAAAATTATTGTTCATAGACGATAGACAATAAGGGGATTTTAAGCAATACTGTTTACCATACTAACAGATCTGCAAACGTGGATTTTTAAAGAATATGTTTTCAAGAACCCACTGATCATCATCGAAATATACAATCGTGGATTTTTTACATTTTTTCCAAGAACCAACATTTCCCACAGATTTACAACCTTTGATTTATTTGCAAACTCCTCTCTGCCACGCAGATATGCTCCAACCATTGCATATTCCACGCCATCACAGCAAAATTTTAAATAAATTTTCATTAATAATCGACAAAATTTCCCAACAACATTGCATTTTTGCCTTGCAAATGAACTGAATTACCTTAACCCATTAAATGATCGCCCCAATACTTTTCGCCTGTCTGTGCAATATTTCTCATAGCTGCATTAAACGATTGTTTGTTCTAGACTCCAACACACACACACACTCACACACTATTACAAAATGCTAATAGTTTTGAAATTTTAATGAAACATTTAGCAAAGATTTTATGCTGCGAAAAAAAAAACAACAAAACAAAAAACTTGTTTTATGACAAATAATTAACAAGTTGTTTTTTTTTTCGTTTTGCAATTTTTGTTTTGTTGTTGTTGCTGTTGTCGTGAATAGTTCACGGTATGGGAGTTGAAATCACACTCTCAAAATCTTTATTGAATGCAAACAATTGTTGATGTCATTTCGGTGTGGATATTTGTTCTATTGTTGACAATATGAGTTAACTATTTTTTATGAGTGTTAATTAGCCAAATTACTGTAATTTAAACGTAAACTAAATCCCATACCGATGGCTTAAAACGTAAAACGTGATATGTGTTCAAGTCATGAAATTCGAGTGGCAAAAATGGTGGCAGTAACAAACCTCATTAGGGCAGTTATTACAAAATCATTTTCGGTGCACATGAAGCAAATAACCTAAATGAGATGAGAAAAATATTTTGGATAATATTTTCTTTCTAGGAGAGTTCTAGGGGAAAAATATTGAGAATTGGTTAAAAAATTAAAAAAAAAATAGAAATATTCGTCAGAATTTATAATGTGGTAATATATATTTTTTTCCGTTGTTGCAAAGTAGCTAAGCTTACAGCCCTGGTAAACATTAACATCTTTCTTCATATATAAAAATACTTTTTTTTTCATAAAAACTAAAATTATAGGATTAAGCCTTATTATTTTGCAACAACAAAATATTATTATAATATTCCAAAACAAAAATGCCAGCACTGTTATATTTTTGATTTCGATAAAACTTGTTAACACGACAAAATTGTTAAAATTATAGGACGCTAAACATCTCCAAAAACTTTTCCTTTTGTGAACATTGACATTTGGTGCATCTACTTTGATATTTATACCCTCAGCCATATGGGTAAAGAGGGTATATACAAGGACCCCACAAAGTATATATATTCTTGATCAGCATAAAATTCTATGTCGATTTGGCGATGTCCGTCCGTCTGTGGAAATCACTCTAGCTTCCGAACGAATTGAAGTAGATTGATAAAATTTTGCTCAAATGTATGTTATGTCTGCAGGACTTTTGGTGTTGAAAATGGGCTATGTAGATCCACGATTTGGTATAACCCCTCTATAACGTTACCACCCGATATTCAGTACTTTGATGATTTTAGCGAATTTATTCAACGGAATTGTTTCAAATTTGACATTTGAAGTTCATAAATGATACTACAGCCTAAGACAGAAAATTGTCTGTGCAGGTTCACGTCTTCGTAGAGCCCCCATATGACGGTATCTCCCAATATTCGGTATTTTAATGATTTTAGGGACATTTTTCACCAGAATTGTTTCAATTTTGATATTTGAAGTTCGTTATGGATACTACAGCCTACGACAGAAAATTGTCAGTGCAGGTCCACATCTGCGTATAGCCGCCATATAACGGTCCCTTCAGATATTCGGTATTTTGATATTGATATTATAACCGATTTTTTTAAGTTTCGCATTTGAATATTGAAATGGCTTATGACAAATGTTACATACGAAGGTTCGTGTCGTCGTATAGACCCTAATATAATAGCTACATTCGGTATTTTTAAGATTTTAACAGCATTTTTAACGGATTTTATTGTTTTTGAGAATTGCCAAATTCGTTCCAAATGGTGGAGGGTATTCACAGTTCGGCCCGGCCGAACTTACAGTTCTTTTACAGGGTTGCCCATATTCGACGGACCCATCTGGCAACGCCATAACTTTTGACAGAGATGTCACATCGCTTAATGACATACCGCGTTTGAAGCGTCAGTCCAAGCAGATTTTTACCATGAACCAATAAACGCCACGGGAGCGCTCTGAAATAGTTGAAATTTACAAGAAGTCAATTGTGAAAACTCAACGTGCTTTTAAAACATTAAAAAATGTGAGAAGTGCGCCTTCTAAGAACACCATTAAGCGTTTATACGAAAAATTTTCGACTGGTAAGGCTCTTTCTAATCCGAAGAGGCCATATAAAAGTCGACCAAGGTGATCGGCCGAGAATATCGCTGCCGTACGAGCCAGTGTTGAGAGGTCCCCAAGAACATCCCAAAAACGCCGTTCTCAGCAGTTGGGCATGGCTCGGTCCACTTTACAACGGATTATTCGCATTGATTTGCATTTGTTCCCGTACAAAATTCAATTGACGCAAAGAATGTTGCCTGCGGACGAGCCTCGTCGATTGGAATGAGCCCA